GCCGAGCAAAAACTCCGCAAGAATAGCTAAAGCCTTTGAGGAGCAAGTACTGACAAGGTTTGGGGCCTGCGTAGAAGTGCTGACTGATCAAGGAACGGAGTTCTTAGGAGAGTTCGAGAAGCTGCTGAAAGAGAGTGGCATCAACCACAAACGTACGTCGCAGTACCATCCTCAAAACGACGGCCTGACAAAGAGATTTGTGCAAACTATAAAAAGGGGGCCGAGAGCATACGGGGAGAAACTAAAAAGAGACTGGATGCACGGATGCAGTGGGTAGCAGGAGGATATCAGCTCAGCAAGCAAGCAGCTCTCAAAGACCTCTCCGCCTTATTTGTGCGTATTGGGAAAGTCTTTTATTGGGTCATGTTTCGATTTTATACTTATATTGACCTGGGCGCGCACATTTCTCCTCCACCTTTCCCTGCCTCCCTGGCTCCTTGTTGTTCTGCCTCTCTTATTCCTCATCTCCCGACCTTGTGGAAATTTCACACAATAAGATGCCACTGGTCTTAGATGTCACTCTTGTAGGCATCCTTGTGTAAAGTCAATACATTTTTAGCATACGCGCTTGAAACGCTGACTTTTAAGGGCCCCAACGAGAATTCCCCTTTAGTACACTAGCAAACAATGAAGTTTGAGATCATTCGTCAAAATTATCCGATGACCGATATTTCCTACTGCATTAAACACACTCCCGAAGCCACCAACCTTCCCCATTTCTTTTTCTCCCCATCTTTTAGGAAGTAAGACCTAAACAGTTGTTGACAGTATGGTACAATACAAGCAATGACCAAATGTGCCCCTCTTTATGTAAATGGTCCAACGTTCAAACATTGTCATGAGTTGTTCAAAAGAAGTGCACTTAGTTCGGAACATCACCAATCACAGCAGCACACGCATTGTACGTAGAAGACTAGAGAATAGATTCAACAAAAATCAGATGCTTGGTTAAGACTCATAAGGTTCAGCCCTTTTTCTGTGGTGGCCTACCACCCTCTTTATTCCCTAACGAGACTGCTGGTCCTTTTTGCCGAACATCCCGTTTGGCATATCTTAGCTCGCACGTGTTGACTCTTCCACCAAATTCAAGTGCTCTAAACGCTTCTCCAACGTTAAGCGAAATGGTGAGCACCATCAACACCCGCTCATTACCTTCAATGTAGCTCTGCCCACGAAGGATGATAAAATGGTTTTAGAATGAAACCACATTTGGATAACGTGCAGCCATAATACAATTTCATACCTTCAGCACTTTAGTCAGCACGTGCTGACAATAAACCAGGGGCAGGGGACGGTGGCAGGGGAGGCAGTGACCTGGGGAGACCAGAGACAAGGAAACGAGAGTGCATGCCACGAAGGAGCTGCATCGAAGGGTGCCCAATGCGGTGGTGCCAGAGGACCGTCTGGTGCGACAGGTTGCGACACGAGCAAGGGGCGGACAACTGACCTGACGCAGACGCAGACGCCGCTACCTGAGGGGACTTAGTGGTCAGTGTATACAAGTCCGACCCCGGCTGCCGAGTGAAGGTAGCCAGGTGAGGACCCGTCCGGGCACACGTGCAGTGTGTCACACGCTCGTAGGCAGGGGTGAACTGGTGAACACTCGCGTCCTGGAGCGCAGAACCCGCCACCAAGTTCGTAGAGAACGAGGGAAGGTAAAGGCCTGACAGCGTGCCGGACGGGACAGCAGGTCAAGGGAGGGCAGTGGTGGAGGTCGCAAGGGCCGGACCCTCGGAGGGGTCAGCCAGGGAGACAGCAACCGGTCTAGGGAGCTGCTCGAGGGCAATGCGGTCGCGAAAGAAACTGCGGGAAGCACCTGAGTCCAGTGTGAAGGTGTGCAGTGCCTCAGTAGACGTAGTACCTGAAGGCGTAGACTTCCAACAATAGCAGCACGGGCAGGGCAGTGCTCATCAGTGGTGGGAAGGGCAGGCGCATGACGGAGGCGACTGCGGGGCCGCTGCAGCGGCAGGGCGGGGCCGTGACCGCGGCAGGAAGCTCCGCGACAGCTGCTGCAGGGCGGGAGCGGGCCGCGATGATCGCTGCTGCAGGGGCGGCTTCTCTAAGGGCCAGGGGCGGGTGCTGTAGGGGCGGCTACTCCAGGGGCGGCTGCTCCAGGGGCGGCTACTCCAGGGGCGTCTGCTCCAGGGGCGGCTGCTCCAGGGGCGGCTGCTCCAGGGGCCGCTGCTCCATGGGCAGCTGCTCCAGGGGTGGCTCCTGCAGTGGCGGCTGCTCCAGTGGCGGCCACTCCAGGGGCCAGGGGCGGCTGCAGGTGCGGCTGCTCCAAGGGCCAGGCGCGGGGTAGGGCAGGGCAAAGCGGCGGGCAGGGCGACATGGCGGGCAGGGGCGACGCCGCTGGCAGGGGCGACGCGGCAGGCAGGGCGACGCGGCGGGCAGGGCGACGCGGCGGGAAGGGCGACGCGGCGGGCAGGAGGCGACGACGCGTCACCCGCTGGGCGCGGCCGCGTCAGCAGCAGGGCGCTGCCGCGTCAGCGATAAGGTGGGGCCGCGACTGCGGCCTGACGAGTCCGCGACAACGACCTGACGGGGTCGCGCGCTGGCCTGACGGGCCTGCAGAGGCTGCTCGCGGGCGGCGAGGACCTGCAGGGGCGGCGCGTGGTCGGGCAGAGGCTGCGCGCGGGCGTCGAGGGCCTGCAGGGGCGGCGCGCGGTCGGGCAGAGGCTACGCGCGGGTAGGGGCGGCGCGCGGTCGGGCGTCAAGGTCCTGCAGGGGCAGCGCGCTGACCTGACGGGCCTGCAGAGGCGGCTCACAGGCCTGACGGGCCTGTAGTTGGTGGCTCGGGGGCCTGACGAGCCTGCAGAGGCGGCTCGGGGGCCTGACAGGCCTCCAGGGGCGGCTCACAGGCCTGACGGGCCTGTAGGTGGCGGCTCGGGGGCCTGACGGGCCTGCAGGGGCGGTTCGAGGGCCTTACTAACTTGCAGGGGCAGCGCACTGGCCTAGGGCAGCAGGAGGCAGCGCGAGGGCTGCAGGACGGCGCGCGGGCAGAACGAAAGGCGAGGCGCGCGAGGGCGCACTAGTAGAAAAAAAGGGCGCACGAGGGCGCACGAGCAAAGAAGGGCGCACGAGGGCGCTTCTAGCGGAATAGTGGGCCCGTAGTAGTAAGCGGTCCTAGGTGGCAACTTAGGCTCGTGATACCATGTTAGAATCAACAAGAGTGATTGAACTATGAAAGAGTTGGGTACAAGTAGGAAACCCTAAACTTACTGTACCCCATAGTAACTACCCCACAACAACCTAAACAAACTGTAGCAGATATAACATTTGACAAAGGCAACCGTTTCGAACAGGCAGATGCTCACATTGCATCCGCACCTCATAGGGGTGGACCGCACAAGTCAGGTTCTGCAACACGTGCAGTGAAAGGATCTCATAGCCTTAATGATTTGAAGGACTTGGAAAAAAATCAGGAGAAGTGAGTTGCCTTACTTGTTACACTCTGTTATATATATCTATACCTACAAATGCACTCTTGCTAGATTGTGATCACCGTATTGTTATTGCTACTATAACATTACATGTGAACTGGCTTTGTGGCCGCTTGGTTGTGCTTGTACTATGTTGTAATTGAGACCCACCCTGAGCTTGGTTGTGTTTCCTCTCTTAACTGGTCTTGTGACCATTCGTGACTCTTGCTGTCCATCACTTAGCCTATGGGGGTGTGTCCAAACATGTTTGTGTGTTAGGCTAGAGTGAGGATAGCTATAAAGGGCACGGGAGCGGGCGCGCAGGTGAGCGCGCTCGCAGGCACACCGGCGACGAGCAAGCTGCGGCCGGCGACGAGCAAGCTGCAGAAATGTGACATGCCGCAGCTGAAGGAGCTGGATCTGGGACTTTAACAAGGTGCAGCCGGGATGGTGAGAGGCAGGTTAATAGTGGATGAGAGGCAGGTTACCCGGTTGTGTGTGCGCGAATGCGGGTGGAGCAATGAGTAGTTGAACACGGTTTTACGGCCGTGGATTGATGTGGAGAAATAATACTGCTGGGATGCAGGGCATGTGCTGGGATGCATCATGCATGGCACGTGCGACGAAATGATGCATGTTGAAGTGAGGAGTATGCTTGTAGTGTAATTTGTACCGTATGCTTGTGCAGATGTTTACTGAAGTTTCGCCAGCTGAAACAATTGCAGGGGCACTTAAAAATGGTGGGGGAGGGTGGGGTGGGGTGCTATATCCAATCTGAAAACGGGGTGCTGCCACACCCCGGATATAACAAACACAGGTGCTTTATTTCGCCGGCAGGCCTCTCGTTATCAGGGTAAAATACCCTTCTTGCACTGACTGGCGGCCGCTTTTTTTCAGTTACCCTTTCACAGGCATGGTAGTGGATTTTTAACCCTAGGCCAGAAAGTGTAAGTTTTTCAATACCCTTTGAAAAACAGCATAAGGAACACATTACTCTGACTGTACAGTGTACAATCCAAACTATACTGGTACTGAGTGCTCCGTAGCGAGACGAAACACTATACAGGTCCGTGCAAAACGATACAATTAGCGAGATTTGAACTTGCGACATTACAGATTAAATGCGCAATTGAACCAGCTGAATTACTAGCCATTGAATTCAAGTTCTTGAGAACTGTCACTCCCAAAAATGTTTTAAAAAAACCCTGCCCAAACAGACTAACTGTTTTTTTACCCTGCATTTGTCAGGGAAACAAAATTTTTACCCTACGCATCAGGGTTGACTATACCTAGAACCCTGATTACTAAGGGTGGCCCAAAACGAATCTGAAGCCCTGTTCGCCGGGTCTACTATATGGGGGATTATGGTATTAAAGTTTAAAAATCTTGTTCAACACGCTCAAGCACAGCCCTCGACATTAAAGTTTAAAAAACTTGACTCGTAACTTGGGCCGCGCGCTTCAATATATGGCATGTCCCATTGACAATCCTGACAACTCCCACCAGCAAAACTTCATCACCATATATACCACATAGCTTCTGAAACATCGTCACAAAACATTCGATTCACCCATCACGTCACTTGTTCCGCCTCTTGTGCCCCCCCTTATCACCATGCCGCCGTCTGCTCTTGGTGTGTCTCCTCTCGCTGCTGCTGTCACTCCCACAGTTGTCACCCTCACTGCTGCTCCCATCGCTCTCACTGCTGCTCTCATGCCTTCCCCTGTGGTGCTTTCTCCGTGATGCCTTCTTCTTGTGCTTCTTCCTCCTCGCTGCATGATCTGATTCTTCACTTCCTGTACTCCCGCTGTCTCGTCTCTTCGTCCTCTTCCGTCGCTTCTTCCCCCCATCAATCTCTCGTGACCGTTTATTGCTCCTTTTCTTCACCCCCTCCTTCCTCCTCCTCCTCCCCTCCCCTCTACCAGACAAAGAGCCTGCGCTATCCGAGTCAGACCCCGACGATGCTGATGACGACGACGATGACGTCAGCACACGCTTCTTCTTCTTGACAGCAGCGACAGCAGCGGCAGCAGCAAGTGCGCACCTTCCCTCCCCCATGGCACCACCTCTCGTGCGTCCATGTGCATCAGCCATACCACCTCCACTGCCTCCCTGATCACTCTGCCGCTCCTCCCCCACAGCTGCCTCACTCGCCCCGCTTCCACCTGCCACGTTCTCAACTCCTTCTCTGGCCCGTTCTGCCCGCCCTGCTTCCACTGCACCCTCCGCACTGCCTGCCATGCCAGCGCCATAACCCCCTTGGCCCCACACACCACCCTCCTGCTCCTTTCCTGCCCTCCCCTTTCCCGCTTTACTCTCCCGCTTCGCACCCTTGCTGCCCTCCCTCTCCTCTCGCCTGCCCTCGCCCCCTGCCCCGTGTCGCACCTCCCCCGGGTCCACCTGCAAGCCCAGCTCCTCGCCCAGCCCCTCCAGGAAGTCACCTGCCTCCAGCCGGGCAAGAGCCCGCGTGGCAGCTTCTGCCGCTGCCACGTCATCAATGCCACCTGGCGCTGCGGATGTGGCACGAGCATCATCGTCGCTGTCTTCATCATCCGAAAAGATTGCCTGGAGCGAAGGGGAGCGTGCAGGGTGGCGGGACAGGTGGAGTTGGAGTCACAAACTCGCAGCAGAGGGCAGTAAGGAGACAGGGAAACAGAAGCAGGTGACGTGAGTGTTTAACGGAACACAAATGTAAAAATTTCACGACTACCAAGAGTGACGATAAAAGAGAAAGAGAAAACGGCAAGAGCAGGGGATGGGATCATGGGAGAGCAGGCGGGGGGCACCTTGAAGAGGTCCATGGGGCGGTTCTTCACCGCCTCCGCTGCTGCCTGCCCCTCCCCCTCCCCCTCCCACACTCCCGCACTTTCCTCTCCCCCCCGTCCTGTGTCCTCCTTCCCTCCCCCGATCGCTCCCCTCACGTGTCCCTCCTCGTGTCCTTCCATCCACCCATCACGCCCAGGAGGCATGGCAGGCGCAGCAGGAGGAGGCGCAGGGAGGGAGAGGAGAGGCGAGGGGGCAGCAGTGGGGGCAGCAGTGGGGGCGGGCGTGGTGGAGGGGAGGGTTTGGGGGAAGGAGGTGAGGGTGTCGAGCTGAGAGGGACGGTGGAGAGGGGGGGGAGGGGCCTGTTGTGGAGGGACCACGGAAAAGGAGAAGAGAGAGGAGAGAGAAGAAAGCCGTGTGAAAAGGTGAACAAGTGGATCGATGTGCTGTGACCGGGTTGACTGCAGAGAATCGCACAGGTGTGCGGCGCAGAGGTGCAGCGTGCAAGCAGAGTGAACCACTTGGGCGGCAGGCATGGCAGTGGGACCAGCCGGGCAGAATACACGGGGGGAGGAAGAAGGGGAGTGGACGTGTGGGAAGGGGCAGGGAGCAGCGGGGAAATCTGGTGGCAGGCAAGCAGAGGCGTGCTGGCCGACCAGTGCGCGCATCAAGGAAGGAACTGGTTGCCACCAGACGACAACACACGGCTTCCAACGTCACCTGTCTGTGGGCTGCCTCACAGGCTTAGTTGGAAGGATTCTGCAACATCAGTGTCGCAGCCTTTTTTTCCTCTCTGTTTCCCGGTCAGCCCGTAAGCACTACGTATTTTCACATGATACTAAGCATACAAACTTTCAATGAGGTTACATGTACTATGCAAACATATGAGATGCCCAACTAAGCGCACAGGGTGGCACGGCCATCTCACCTTGCCCGCGTACGGGTCGGGCAGGTTGAAGCGCTTGCACAGCAGAGGCAGCGGCCTCCACGCCTCCTCCCTCCGCCGAGCCACCACCACTGCTGCCGCCCCTGCCAGCGCAGTGCCTGCCCCGGGTGCAGCAGGCAGCGCCGCCTTCTCACTGCTCATGCCGCCCTTGCCCGCCCGATCCTCATGCCCGCTGCTGTGGAAGCGCGCCGCCATCATCGCTGCCAGCTCAGCCGCCGCCCCGTGCTGCTGGAAGGCCGGCACGGTGGGGGCAGGGGGAGCAGCAGGAGATGTGGCAGAAGTAAAGGCAGAAGCTGCAGCAGCAGGAAAAGCAGTTGAGGTGGGTGTGGGGTGCGCTGATAGACGTGGAGCAGGGGCAGGCTGGGAGGAAGGCAGGGGCTGCTCGCCCAGCAGCGCGCCCCGCACATCAGGCCCCAGGCGCTCCCCCCCACTGCTCCCCACTGCCTTGCCCGCTGCTGCCCTGCCCTGGGCGGCCCTCTGCCTCTCCGCCAGCTCCCACACGCGCCGCCGGTAGTACGCACTGCCCTCCCCGCCCACCAGGAACGCCAGCCGCGCACTGCCCTCTCCTCCCCCTCCCTCCCTCGCGCTTGCGCCCTGCACCATGCCTTCCTGCGCCCCTTCCCCCACCCCTCCCCCTGCCCGAGACAGCAGCAGCGCCTCCACGTGCGCCCCACAGCGCGCCACCATGGCCGCCACGCCCTCCACCGCCGCCCGCACCGCCGCGTCTGCGGGGGGAGGGGCTGGCGGCGGGGCGAGTGTGGAGGGCGCTGACATGGCGGAGGGGGGTGGGGAGGAGGGGAAGACGTGGTGGGGGGTGAAGGAGGAGGGCACGTGGGGGGGCGGGTACCTGGAGGGTGGGTGGGTGGGGGGGGTGGGAGGGAGGGTGGGAGGGTGGGTGGGAGGGAGGGTGGGAGGGAGGGTGGGAGGTAGGAGAGCAGCATGTGTGTGAAAAGGCGTGGCTGGTTGACAGTGAAGCAGTGTGGGTGGAAGTGAACGCGGACTTGCAGCTAAGGAAAGAAGCAGTGCGGTGGGCAGGGAGCAAGGCTCGTGGTGGGCAGGGAGCAAGGCTCGTGGTGGGCAGGAAGGCATGTGGCAGAGGCAACAGAAGCAACAGCACACACATTGGGCTGCAGTGAGTGTGGGTGAGGCAAGGGGGGGGCAGGCAGCAGTACCATTTGCATTCCTCCAGCGCCACGCGCCCCTCACAGAAGCCCCGCAGCACAGCCGAGCTGCTCCCACGGCCCACCCCTCCCATCCACGCCATGCCCTGCTGCGCCCCTCCCTGCGCCCCCTGCTGCCCCCCCTGCTGCCCGCGCCTGCCTGCGGCCATGAAGCCCCCGCCAGCATGCACGCCTCGCCCCTCCCCCTCCTCGTCCTCGTCGCTCGCCACTAGGTGCAGCTCGCCCGCCGGTATCTCTGGATGGCGCACGGGGGGAGAGGGCGCACGGGGGGAGAGGGCGCACGGGGGGGAGGGCGCACGGGGGGGGAGGGCGTACGGGGGAGAGGGCGCACGGGGGGGAGGGCGCACGGGGGGGGAGGGCGTACGGGGGGAGAGGGCAAGGGGGTGAGCGCAGTGCGCATGAAGAAAAGGGCGCAGTGAAGGAGGAAAGCAAGGAAGTTACATGGTAACGTGCCACCATGGTAACGTGCCACCATGGTAACGTGCCACCATGGTAACGAGCCACCACATGCAGTCAACCTTTTCTTTGCACAACAACACACTCTCGCTCCTCACCCACCACCACCGAACTCCACCGCACAGCATCTCACCGAAGTCGTAGATATCCTCATCCTCAGCCCCAGCCTCCTCCAGAGCCCCGATGCCAAACCCCCCCGCCACCCGCCCACTGCCCGCCGCAAACAGTGACTGCCTGCCACCACCCGCCCTGCACCGCCCACCCAGGCCCCTCTCTCCCCCCCTCTCCCCTCCCTCCCTCGCCCCCCCTGCCGTCCTTTGCCTGTGCTCTGCTCCCACTCCCCAGAGAACAGAGAGGCGGGCGAGGCAGGGAGGGGGAAGGCGGGAAGGCGGGATGAGGGAGTTGTAGTGAGCAATGAGAGTGACACGCAACGGGGAGGAAGAAGAGCTTCAGTGGTCCTTGCACGCATGGCAGACAGTATTACCAAGGGGACATTCCACATATGGCAGTCATTGCAAGTATGCCAGTCACCACCACTCTGCACGCCTCACCACCCCTCTGCACGCCTCACCACCCCTCTGCACGCCTCACCACCCCTCTGCACGCCCTCACCACCCCTCTGCACGCCCTCACCACCCCTCTGCACGCCTGACCTCGCACATCCTCAGCGCCCTGGAAAGCATCGAAGCCCACACCCCGGGTGTCCCGCTTGGGCGCCCTCAGCTGCGCCGCCACCGCCGCCTCTGCTGCCGCTGCTGCCGCCAACGCCCCCCCGTCCTTGCCACCCCTTGCCCCCCTGCCCTTCCCCACAATCTCCTCTCGACCCCCCCATGCGTCCCCTTCCTCATCGTCCTCGTCCCCCTCTGCCTCCCCATCATCGTCTCCTCCCCCCTCCCCGCGCCCTCTTCCTCCCGCTGCCAGCGCCAGCATTGCCCGCCTGCCCTCGCGATGCACCTTCCTGGAAGCTGCCACCTCGTCCGGCCCCAGCCCCCTGCCCTCTCTCCACCCCATCCTGCGCAGCAGCGCCTTGCCTGGCTTGGGTGGTTGGGGAAGGGGGACGGGAGGAGCGGGGAAGGTTGGTGGAGGGGGGAATGTGAAGCGTGTTGGATTAAGGAGGGGGGTTGGAGAGGGGCGGGAAGTGGGAGAGGTGGAAGGAAAGTGGGGGGGGAGGAGGTATGCAAGTGCATGGGGCACTGAGGCAATGGGTTGAGACGTGAAGAGCAGAGGACAGACGCACAGGTTGGCTGGGGGACGTGGTACAAGTGGAGTGCACAGGCAGACAGGGAAGGGATAACGTTTCCACATTGCACTCCCAGCAGTCAGCAGCCAGTCCAATGGCAACAAGCCACCCCACCCATCCAATCCAGCTGTCCCTTCCCCCTGCCTCCTCTGGCGCAGCCCCTCCCTCCCCCTGCCTCCCCCCTCCCTTCCCCCCTTGCCGCACCGATGGAGTCAGCAGCGGGCGCCAGCAGCTCTGCCACGGCCCCTCCGGGGATCACGGAGGGGCGCCGGTCCGCGGCGGGGGCGAGCTGGCGGGCGCGCTCAGCAGCGGTGAAGCCGAACGTGTCGAACGCGCTTTGGGCCGCCACGGCGCCGCGCTGCGCGTCGTGGCGCTCGTCGGCGTCCATGAGCGCCTCCACGCGCTGCGGCTGCACCTCCGCGCGCTGCGAGCGCGACGAGCGGAACGATGCTGGCTGCCACCCTGCGTTGGATGGTGAGGGGTTGGCGGGCAGATCAACGCGGGGGGTTGGGATGAAGAGAGGGGGTTCGGGGGTGGAAGGGGAGAGCAGTGGGATGAGTGATGCTGCCGTCGCCCCCTCGGGCGTTGCGTCACCTCGCCCCTCGTGCCGACGAGCGGACCACTGAGGAAGCAGCGAGACGAGCAGGACAGCGGCAGCAAGGGGGACAGCAGGCGAGGGAACAGCCGCATCGGCGCCTACTGGCGCGAGAATCCGATAGAGAGTCCCAGCGCGCGAAAGGCGCACGCTCGCATGGCGGCAAGGGGTGGAATAACCTTCCCTGCACCCCCTCCTTTTGCTTCCTCTCACCGGTTTTGGGCTCCAAGCCTATGGCAGGTGCCTCGTACCTTCCTTGGACCCCACGCTGTTGAAGTACCCCGCGGAAAAGCCCCCCGTGAACGCGCCGTGAAACCGCCGCCTGCCCTCATCGTCGCGCGCCTCCTGCTGCCACGGCGGCACCGCCTGCTTCGCGCGCCCCTCCGCCACCGCCAGGTGCAGCTTGCGGCCCCCCGCGCCCTCCTCGCGCTCCAACGCGCGCCCGAAGTACACGCAATCCTCGCCATTGTCGTCCATCGCTGCGTTCGCGATACAAAGGTATCTAGTAACAATGAAAATTTCCTCTTCCAATCTCAAGTAGAGCTAACAATCAGCTCTAGTCGACCGCCAAGGTAACGCGCTAGATTGCGAGCAAGGGGGCGGGGGCCACTGACGGGCACATGACGCGGGTGCTCTTTCCTACGCCTAGCTAATGAGGACGGGCCTCTGTTTTCAATTTACCAGGATCGATCGTGGGAGGGGATCGATGTGCCACTTGTACAGTGAGTTGGCGACGTCAGCCAATGCCTGGTATCCGTTTTTCGCATGACGTCGAAAGTGTACAGTAAAAGGGTACCCAAAATTGTGGCACCTGCAGCTCGCACGAACGATGTGCCGTGGTGCACACAACAATCGTGCGTTTGGGTTGGCGGGAGAGCACATCGCGCCACAGGTGACAGCCGCGATCGATCGGCGTCGCCCACGGTCGCAGGCGAAAAAATCTTGAGTCGTTGCGAATGAAATTGCTGGGCGACCTACCACGCTCTGCCCTGATTGGTTGTGCGTTGCAGTGTGTTGCTCTTCCGACGCAGCTCCAACCTGCCCGACCCTGCAATTTCGACCCTGGCACCTATAGCTCGATGTGTCTACCCCACTGCAAATTTGCAGTGTGGGCACATCGGTGTGCCGATCGATGTGCCAGGATCGATGTGAGGTCTCGATCCTACCCCGAGCCTGGCAAAATGAAAACATGTACCGCGTCCTAATGGTCTGCGCCATTGCCGTGCAAGCCTCGATCACATGCAGAGCACTCTAGGTTCGCCTGCTTTCGGAGATTCAGTTAGCAGATATTTCTTCGGGGTTGAACAACCGAGATGAACCGAATCGAACCACACAGAAACCACATTTTCCAGTGATTTGGGACAACCAAATACCTCTAATAGTATTAGTACTTATGTACACTAATAATGCTACCTATATTTGTTCGTTAAATACCCGTAGAAGGAGCTGCAAGCCCGGAACCAAAAAAAAAAAAAAAAAAAAAATCGAATATTGAAAGGGTGCTCTATTGTGGATTAGCGATCATTATTTGTAAGGAAATACAAGTCGTTACTCCAGTCGCACATTAGCAGGTTCAGTCCTGAAGGGTTCGCACCAGCTAGTTCGGTTTAAAAACCCGACCAAACAACCACGAATCGCCCTGCACAATTCGCCTAACTTCCGAGCCTAGTTTTCCCGTGGTTCTGGGAGGCAACACAAAAAGGAAGCCTAACAAAGTTACTCTCTATGGAGTATCTCACCGCAGCCTATCACAATATTAACATTCGACACACCCCCATAGGCTTAGTGAGAGGCACCCAACAATTACCGTATTGCCCTGGATAGTAGCGCCGCCTGAGTAAAGGCGTCGACGCTTCTATCTGGAGCCATGCGCTTATGGCCGGTACTCAATTATAAGCGCACCCCCTAGAATGCATGTACTTTTTATAAGCGCATCCCTTCTCCCCAGGGGGTAGTCTTTCCACTATATATTTTTTTAGTCTAAACATTTTTACCTACACTAACACGATTTCTACACATGCCTCTCTACCACTAATCTCATTACACATTACGAATTACACCCCTAACTAGAAATCTACTCGTCCTCAGACTCCGGCTCCTCGCAGTTGTTGCCAAAGAAGCCGTTGGCGACGATCTCGTCATCGACGTTGACCACGTGGGTCAGCTGGCTACGCCTGTGCGCCATGGCAAGGTTGTCCTCACTGCCATCAAGCACGTTGCTGATGCCACAGGTGAGGAACGCCTTCTTGATCAGCTCTGGTGGCACGGCCTTCCAGGCCCGTGAGATCCACCTGAGCACCACCGCAGGGGGGGGCTTTTTTATGTTCCCTACACCACATGTCAGAGTATGGGAGATGCTGTTAACACAGTATACACCGGGAAACGAAGCAGCCAACTAGGGATCAACGGTGGGGTTCTTAGCTGCAGCCGTCAGCCGCTCCTGGCCGTCCTCTTCAAACCAGGTCTGGTACTGCTGGCGGATGCTTGCTTTGAAGGACTTATTGATCGAGACGTCGAGGGGCTGTACCTCCGCCGTACAGCCCGACGGGATCACCGCCGTACAGCCCGACGGGATCACCGTCGGAACCATGTCGACGTCGACGAACTTCTCCTTCACTTCGTCCGTGAGATGACCGCGGTAGGAGTCAAGGACGACCATGGCACTCCTCGCCTGCCTGCCGAACCGAGGCCGGATGAAGGGCTTGACGCACTCCTCGAGCCAGCGCGTGACGCTGTTGGTGTCCATCTAGCCGTTCGGGTGCACCGCCACGACCACATCTGCGATATCACAGTCAGCCGAGAAACAGTCGTTATTATCACGACTGGAAAACCAAACATCTGCTGATCATGGTGTATTCTTACCTGGCGGGAAGTCACCCCTCGGCACCGTGTTGCGCTTGAAAAAGACCCACGGCTTGAGCTTCTCGCCGTCCGCCGTGTCAGAATGTCATCATTGTCTGGTCTGCAGTGGGGTGCTCTATAGTGAGTACAACCCAAATTAGGGTTTGCTATATGAACCGCCCCGGGCGCGCGACCCTTTCTTCCTGCCGCGCACTCGGAGCGCGCGGCGTTTTTCATCCCGCCGTGCGCTCGGGGCGTGCGGCGGTTTTCTGCACGCCGTGCGCCCCGAGGCGCGCGGCAGTTTCCTGCCCGTCGTGGCGCCCCCGGGGACCTGCGCGCTGCCCCCCGTCGTCCTCCTCCCGTCGCCTCGTCGCGGCGCCCTGGGGGCCCGCGCGCCGGCCCCTCCCGTCGCCTCGTCGCGGCGCCTTGGGGGCCCGCGCGTCCCCCTCCTCCCGTCGCCTCGTCGCGGCACCTTGGGGGCCCGCGCGCCGCCCCCTCCCGTCGCCTCGTCGCGGCGCCTTGGGGGCCCGCGCGCCGCCCCTTTTCGTCGCCTCGTCGCGGCGCCTTGGGGGCCTGCGCGCGGCCCCTCTCGTCGCCAGTCGAGCCGCCCTCGAGGGCCCGTGCGCAGCCCCCCTCCCGTCACCCGCCGTGGCGCCCTCGGGGGGCCCGCGCCCTGCTCCTTCGTGGCGCCCAGGAGACCCCCCCGCCGCCTCCCTTTCCCTCCGTGAACCACCCCTGCTGCTTCCCGCGCTCCTGCCTGCGTTAGGGTTTGGGGGTGGGGGGCATGGGGGTGACCGGTGTGGGTAACCTGCAGCTCCTCCTCCTCCACCGTCTCCCACTGCTGCAACTGTCGCTAAGGGGGGTGGGTGTGTGGGAGCCGGGGGCTTCGGGTTTAAGGGGGGTGACGTGGGAATGGAGCTAGAGGTACAGCAAAGAGTGTGTGAAAGGGGGGTGGGACAGTTCGGGGAGGTTGAGCGGAGGCTGCCGTCTTGTCGTCCGCAGCACCTGTAGTCCGGGGCGCTGTTCCTGGTAGCCCAGACAGCCTGCTGTGCCTGTCGCCCATGGGTCCGTTGCTCTTGCCGCTCCTCGTAGCCGCCGAGCCAGTTACTCCAGTAGTCTGGGGCGCTGTCCCGGTAGCCACTGTGTGCGCGCTCCTGTTGCCCGTGTGTCTGCAGCTAAAGTCGTCGCCTCCCATCTCCTATCCTCTCACAATCCAGCCTCCTCCTCCGCACGTACCCATTGTGAATGCCTCTAGCTTTGCTTGTCCTTGTGAACCTGCTCTATAACTGCTTGCTGTGCTGATTATACCCCACTTCGACTATGGGGGTGTGTCAGAATGTCATCATTGTCTAGTCTACAGTGGGGTGCTTGAGAAGAATAGAACGAGAATGAGAATGACTATGAACAAAGTGAGTACAAATAGGAAACCCTAATTGGGTTGTACCCCCTATGGGATTCCCCACTATAGCCTACACAAATAAGTAAGCTATAATGTTCTGACACACCCCCATAGGCAAAGTGGGGGAGAACAAGGGGTCACAAGACCAGTCAAGCAAAGCAAAACAAAGCTCAGGGTGGATCACAAAGTCACCACACATTCCGAGAACAAGTTCAAAGGCCAAAAGGCCAGTCCACATGCAAGATTATATACAGAGATAATACAAGAGTCAAGCAAGTAAGGGCAAGAGTATATATAGGTGAAGGTACAAGCAAGGTCAAGAAGTGAGCAAGTGAGGCAAGACAGGCACAAGACCCAGCTGCGTACAGCAGCGCTGATGATCACAAGGCGCAAGTGCCTTGGTGAAGACATCAGCAGTGTTGGCCTCAGAGGCCACGTACGCAAGTCGCAACCGTCAACGCTGCTGTAGCTCACAAGCAAGAAAGTAGCGGAGAGCAATGTGCTTTGTCCTGTGCTCCAGTCGCTGCTCTCGACACAAGGCCAGCATGGCCTTGTTGTCTACGTACAGGACTGGAGGAGAACGAGGCGGCTCTCCAAGGTCGGTCAGCAGGTAGGTGAGCCAGCGAAGCTCCAGGGCAGCCATAGCCCTGGCGTAGATCTCAGCCTCACAACTGGAGCCGAGGACAGAAGACGAGCGGGTAGCCCGCCACGAAACAGAGCCGGAACCAAGGCTGAAGGTGTAACCCTGTGACGACCGCTGTGTAGCCTGGTCGTCAGCCCAAAAAGCGTCTGCGTGCCCAGGGAGGACCACTGGACTGCGCCCTCCAAGCACTAGCCCCATGCCCGACGTACTGCACAAATAGCGCAACACCCTCTTCGCTGCAGCCATGTGCTCTGGTCGGTGTCTCCCAGGAGCAACATAGCGTGCAAGAATGCTAAGAGGGTATGCAAGGTCAGGTCGGTGCAGGTCATCAGGTACATGAGGCAGCCAACAAGCTCTGCATACGGGCCACTCGACTCTACGAACTCATCCGAAGGCAGAGCTGAGAGCGAGTGGCGAGTAGGTAGAGGAGTGGCCTGAGGGGAGGAGTACGTGAAGCCGAAGCGCTGAAGGACCTGCTGCACCATGTGTGACTGAGTCATGGTAATGGTGCGGCGTGCTCTGTCCCGGGTGATCTGCAAGCCAAGGTAGCTGCGCAGTTCACCCAGGTCAGTGCACGTGTGTCTCTTCTGCAGC